TGACTTGCTGCAAGGTTTGCAGCAAGTGGATAGCCTAGTGGTTCATACGAAGCACGTTGGAGGATGGTGGTGGCAGATTGGGTGCCTTGCAATGAAGGTGGTGGCTGGATGTATGGCCTTTCGGTCTCTCTATCAACATAGAAGAAGAAGAAGATAATGGGAGAGAAAGAGAGTTTTAAAATAATAAACCTAGTAAGAGGGAGTGAGGTGTCAACAAGAGTGGTCCAAGAGTTAAAAAAAAAAAAGAGTTTGAAAGAGAGAGGGACCGAGATTTATGGAGAGAGGGACCGAGATTTATGGAGAGAGAGGACACAGGACATGGCAGGAGTGGGGTATGGGCCCCATATGGCTCACAAAACAAGCCACAAAATATCTCTAAACATGAAATTACCAAATCGCCTTTCATGTTCGTAAATCTGTAAAATCTCCATCTTAACTCCAAATTTGATTTTGCTTGTGCCCACGCGTTCGTATTATTGCATACTACACAATTACACTAAAAGAATGAGTCATAGGTCTCTCTAAACGATGGTCAACAGAAGTCAAAATCCTTGCCTCTAGAGGCATTTTTGTCAATTCCCTCATTTAAAATTAATAAAATTGTAAAATTAGGGACGGTTGTTACATTTGCCATTTTCTAATGAAATGCTCGACAAGCCAATGAGTAAAGATACTCAAGCACTCAAAATGCAAAGTTACAAAGGGCTTACTGATTAGTATGACCACATGGACGGGTTTATTTACATTATCGAGGGCCGAGTGAATAACAACGCCATCGAGTGTAGGCTATTTCCAACCATCCTCAGAGAAATGGCTTAGGATTGGTTTAAGCAGATTGCCATGAGGTTCATTACGTCTTTCTCGAGGCTGATGCAGGTTTTTCTTGATGCATATATGATCATCTCTAAGAGGCAATACACTGTTGATTGACCTCGCCTCAATGAAGCAAGGCCCAAACTAATCCTTGAGGATTACAAATACTGATTAAATAATGAGTATGTCAGATGAAAAGGATACGACGAGGCAACAGCGTACAATGCCTTCATATGGGGATTTGTCGGATGAGACTTTTACTTCCATTTAACTTGAGATTCCATGAAGCAACTAGCTACTCTCGATCCAAGTAGCTAAACAAGACAAGGATGCAAATCCCTGCCTTGACGAATCGCCTGAACACACTAGCTAAGGCAAAACAGGAAGTTGGGTACGACTGCTTGCCGAAGAAGAAGAAGTATGAGACTTATTAACCCTTCATGAAGAGTCATCCCAAGCGGTATAATAGGTATATATCCTACACGCTCATATATATATATATATACATCCCAGGGGAAAATGTTACGTCTAGTGGAACACCAACTCCCTTTCACTCAACTAGTACAACTGGTTTCTGAAGGAGGAATGATGATACCAAGTAGTGCCGGTATCACCAAGGCCATGGCCGCTTTATCGACAACTTCACAGACCTTAAGGATGATATATAAGCGCTCGTTTGGCAAGGGCAACTCACATAGTATGTAGCTAACAGGTCTGCGACCCAATAGAGCGCTTTTCAAGCGTCAGGTGCCCATGCAAATTGTGATCCGAACATCATAAAGGTAATTTATACTTTGTCTAGGGGGTTTACCTTGTTGGGGAGGGGGGGTTTTAACAGAGTGATAAAGGTCTATGCTCAAGAGCTGTGTTAAGCATTGTCACATTCTTACTCGTTTGGGACTGTGGGCCTACCTGCGAAGATAAGAAGACCCTCAAAGGAGCCTGTAGTGTTCAACGAGGAATGTGGGTTTAGAAACTTACAACCCATGATGACCTCTTGGTTATCTCAGCTGAGAGATAGCCAACTGTGAAGTCACTTGAATTTCATTGACAATGGTAGCTCGGTGAATGTAATCTTTCTCTCAACATTTGACCAGTTAGGAATTAACATGGATCTTTTGTATAGGAACGTGGCACCTTTATAACATTCGGGGATAGTATGCTACACCCAATTGGGGAAATGAGTCTTACATTGTAAATCGGGAACCATCATAAGAGGGCGAGTTTGACGACAAGGTCCATGATTGTAGATTTCTTTTCCTCCTACATCGTGATACTAAGACGATCGTTTCTTACAGAAATGAATGTGACGATCAACCAGAAGATGTTGGTAGTGAAATTCCTAACCACTGCAAGGGTAGGAATGATTAGAGGTGATGAGGCGTCGACAAAGGTATGTTATGCTTTAGTGGTAAAAGTGAAGACCAAGGTGATGATCGAGTGGTTTGTACGAACGCTTGAAGGATCACCTGCATCAGACCCCAACAGTTGCTAAACAACTCGATTGCTACGTTGAACATGAAGGTCACCCTGAAAGTATTACGAGGGAAATGGCAATACGATGGTTTGTAAGGAAAGACTTAGTTTGAAGTGCTTGCTCGAGCATAGGTATCACTCATCAACTAATGCTGGATTGAGGAAACCCAAGGATAGGGGTTCGTTGAAGGCATATATAAAAGGGTAAGAATCTGTTGTAAGGGGGTTTGACAATTGGGAAAATGAAGAGCTCATGTGATTTGCCGAGCGCTACTTGTAGTCTTGAAATGAATACAATTCGAGCAATACAGTGGATGTACCCAATTATGAATGGTGAACCACTTAAATCTCTTAGTCTATTCCATTTTTGTCCATATCCCAAGCCTACCAAAGATTTATTATTTTAATTTGTTAACGTGCAAATGTTGAGCGTTGTGCACTAGTGCCATCATAACTCGAAGATATTTTTTAGTGCCGAAAACATGGGCACATACGCAATATATAAGAGCAAGTCCACCCTTAAAAAAATGCGCCAGCACCTAGCCCATTTAATCCACTTAGTGAATAGTGATAGGCCCTCAATGAACAGTGATAGGCCAAATGCATTTCCACCCCTAAAAAATACGCTGGCACAAACGATATCCACCTCTACAAAATGCGCTGGCACCTAGTCCATTTAAATATTATTAAATTTTTATAAAATAATAAATAAATAAAATAGTTTTAACTTCGGATAGGATTAAATAAAGATGAAATTACATAAAGTGCTAAAAATTAAGATGAAATTAAATAAAGTACTAAAAATAAATACGAAATTATACAAAGTTTGTGGAGCTAGGATATGTACCGCTAGGATCTTCGTTGCTAGGATCTGTGTGGCTAGAATCCCCTCGACTTGTTTCCACGTCTCTTACACACCTCATTCGCACCACATCTCTTTTTTTCGATGTCCAAAAATATTTTGAATTCGAAGATTGTCTTACTAGATGCTTGTTCATAGTGTCACGATCTGCTTGAACCATCATTTCTTCTCTAAGCATCTCGTTTTCTTGATTAAGTCCTTCTCTAATCATCTCGTTTTCTCGATTAACGATTTCTCATTGTTTCTTAGTCACTGAATCACGTCTCTCAGTAGCTGCTAATATTGCTACCATAGCAGCATTTTTTTCCTCATCTTTAGCCTTTTCCTGCGCCATGTTTAGTTCACCTTGGCACGCAAGTTTGTCCATATATTTTGTGTAGTCATTTTTGGAAGAACTCCCTTTTTTCTTTGCCGCCTTCTTACCTTGAGGCCTTAGGGACCGACGAGTTGCCTGGGTCTTCGACACTTCTTCGGGCGTCTCTTCCGGTACTTCTTCAAATGTGTCTTCTTCCTGTGCGGCCGTGTCTTCTTCATGTTTGGCCATGTCTGCTTCTGGTGAACTGTGTAGACTCATGCCGTGCATAACAACTTCTGGATTGGTTGGCACAGTTCTGTATCTGGGGCAATCTTTGACAATTTGCCAACATTCCCATTTGCTGAATGATTTGTTGTGGTTCTTCGCATTGTAGAATGCTTGTGCTTGTAGTGTCTATAAATGTGGGATAAGACAGTATTATAAAATACGGGTGTAACACAAATAAATAAATTAAAATATTGATGATGGTGGAATACATATAAATAAATAAAAATATTGTCATCTGATCTGCTAAACTTGTCCTACTATGTAGATTACCGGAAGCATGAGATATCGTTTTTCCAACAAGTAAAGGATGCGTTGAGTTTTTTTCCAACGACCTTGAAGACCTTGACTACTTTTGGTGTCTTTTCCATGTACATCGCAAAACGCTTTCGTAATTTTACTCCACATTTCTCACTTATCCGTCTCATTACCCGTAATCGGGTCATGAGTAGTGTGAACCCAACATTCACACAACGTAACATCTTCGATGAGCTTCCACATAGTTATTTTTTTCTCTCAAAAATTATATGAAAGCTTTGATAGAAAGTGTTGAAAATATTGAAATGTGGTGTAAGGTGGAAGATCAATTTTTACTCATTTTTAATGAATTTTTTTTTATAAATTTTAATTTAGTTAACTAATCTAGACCGTTGAATTTGAAAAAGATTCAAATCCAACAGCCTATACGTTGACACGTGGCCAACGATCATAATCCTGACCGTTGTGCTTTTTTTTTTTTTTTTTTTAAATTTTGGGAGAAAAATGTGGACCGTTGATCTCTGAATCAAACGGTCCAGATTAAGCCACGTCACTAGCTTTTGGATGTACAAATTCCAAATTTTTTGACCGTTGGAAATCCAATGGTCCAGAAAACTAGCCATTGGAAATCCAATAGCCTAGAAATAAACACGTGGCCTCCCCCATCATATCCCTAAGTGTGCATGTGCTGGAGGGCCACCCCCACGTTTTCTTGTCGGGATGCGCGGTCACGTGTGTGTGTTTCGCACACACCTAGCACAAAAAAAATTTAAACTGGCTTGTGACGTCACGCTGGCGTCAGCATGACGTCAAGCAGGCCGTCCCATAGCTCAGTCCATTTTGAGCTGGCCTGGAGACTAGCTTAAGTTAGGTTGCCGTCCTATCCACATGGGCTGGAGGGAATTGGCCGGGTGCTGGGCCAAAAATGATGCTGGGTGCCGGCCTAAAGGTCCTGGTGGACTTGCTCTAAGGAGTGGATAAACACTTCAAAAACTTTCATCTACTTGTATAATAACCTGCTGTACCGCCGCGTATCCGCCACGTTTGAAAATCTCTCCACAACCAGAGTCTTTTGGCGGAACTCCGCGTCAAGTGCGCTTTTGGATTTCTGTGTTTGTATAACCTGTCACTCAGTCACTGTACATTCCAAGAGAGACAAAAGAAAGAAAAGGATTGAAAGCGAAGAAAGTGGTTTCAGCCCTAAAGCCTCCTCGTTTATTTCCTTCTCTCCAATTCGCTCTCTCACTCCCTTCTTTCACTCCCAAACTCTAAATTGCCGCCGCTCTTGGCTGCTCCCACCACTGCAAGATTTCGCGCTTCGCTTTAGGATCGGTTAGTTGCTTCTCGCATTCCATTCCTTTTTTTTTTTTTTTTTTTTTAGGAGACATTTTATCTTATTAGTTTTCGTATTTAATTTAATTTAGTGTGTTTTTTATTTTTATTTTTTATTTATTTTTTGTTTTGATTTTTGTGATCTATTGTTCTTATAATTAACTTAAAGTTTGTGTGTCGCTTTACTTATTTTCTCATATTTTTCTTAGCATCATAGGGTTTGAACTGCTTGAAATTGATGGCATTTGTGTTTTTTTGGACTAATTATTTTCTTAGGTCTGATCAGGATTTCTCTAATTGTTTTTCACATTTGCGTGCAAGTTTTACCCTATGTTAAAATTGCAAAGGTTTCTGTTTTTAATTTTAATTTTAATTAATTAATTAATTAATTTATAGTTATAGCATAAAAACTCCTTTAAATCCACAAAAATCTTAACTGAATTCGCCGCCTGACTTGCACAGATTGATGTCGAAGTCGGCAATAGCAGTGGTAACTGTGTTGCAACACTCATGTCTCTGTTAATCGTTTATATGTTTGATTTATAGCTAAACAAAATGTTGATTTATACATGTTGATGGCCGAATTGTTTGAAAGAGATGATAACGTATACCATGTACCCGATAATCCTTTGCACTTGTTCCGATCTCATATGTCGTGTTGTTTTCTCATTCGGGTGTTGTATGCTCGCGTCTGCACTTTTGTACTTTGTTTCTTTGTTAATTTTTAATGTATTCATGTTACATTGTAGGGTTTACTGCGCTTGCACAAAAATTGGCCGTGCAGCTCTCCTTTTAGGCTGTTTTGGTCTAAGGGTTCAACTATGGCTGGTGAATTGTTGGTGAGTGCGAATGGAAATGGTAACACCCAGCCCAATCCACAGAGGACTTACCAAGTTGTTGTGGCTGCGACCCGAGAAATGGGTATTGGAAAGGATGGGAAACTACCTTGGAGACTGCCCTCTGATCTCAAGTTCTTTAAGGACGTCACTGTGACCACATCAGATCCTGCGAAAAAGAATGCAATTATAATGGGTAGAAAAACATGGGAGAGCATTCCATCTGAGCATCAACCTCTACCTGGCCGCCTTAATGTTGTTCTGACTCGTTCTGGGAGTTTTGATATTGCTACTGCAGAGAATGTTGTGATATGCGGAAGCATGTCATCTGCTTTGGAATTGTTAGCTGCTTCTCCTTACTGTCTGTCAATTGAGAGAGTGTTTCTCATTGGAGGTGGCCAGATATTAAGGTGTGACATTGTTGTTTGGTTCTGTATTGCAAATCATGTTTCTTCTTTCTATCCTTTCTTTTTATTAACATTTCTGTATCCAGGGAAGCTCTCAATGCGCCTGGCTGTGAAGCCATTCACATTACAGAAATAGAGACAAACATTGAATGTGACACTTTTATCCCTGCAATTGATTCCTCTGTGTTTCAGCCGTGGTATTCATCCTTTCCCAAGGTTGAAAATAGCATTCGTCATTCTTTCACAACTTACGTTCGCGTAAGGAGTTCTGCAGTTGAATCCCTTTGTGAAAACAGTGATCTGATCTCTAATAGTAAGTCAGGCTCCATTAAATGTGAGGTGAAGAATTTCTCTTTTCTGCCAAAGATGATTTTTGAGAAACACGAGGAGCACATGTATCTAAGGCTGGTACGAGAAATACTCTCAGATGGCACTTCTAAGGATGACAGGACAGGGACTGGTACTTTGTCAAAATTCGGTTGCCAGGTAATATCAAACTAAGATTTTTGAGAAAGTCCCGTTGTGCTTCATTTAACAGTCGCTTGATTAAAATGGACAAGTGATGTTTACTCATTTTCTCTGTATCTCCACAGATGCGGTTTAACCTGCGCAGAACTTTTCCACTTCTGACAACCAAGGCATGCATATTCTTCTTTTTAAGATTTCTGTTTCTCTCTCAACCTACCATGTGCTACTAAATTTGTTCTTCCACATAAGGGTTTCTTCAACTTTAATAGATTCCATTTTACTCTCTTGGCATGTGGTTAGATTATTAGGTATTTGATTCTTTTCAATTTCAGTTGATAAACTGACACACCTTATGACTATTTGGTCCATAGAAAGTATTTTGGCGAGGGGTTGTTGAAGAACTTCTGTGGTTCATCAGTGGTTCAACAAATGCCAAGGTATTATGATTTTGTTGAACGTTTACCTTTTGAATCATATGTATGTTTTCCTTGTTTCATTGTCATTACATAATATGGGTACTTACAATTGAGCGAGTTGATTTTCAATCATGTTGAAAGTTGATTTCTGTACAAAGTTGAGAATACTGAAAAATGTGTGTTTTCTCCACCATAAATTGGTAAAACTGATGACTGATTTTGATGTTTTCAGGCTTTGAAAATGTGTAAAATTTATATGAATTTACAGAAGTTGAAGGGGATCATTTGAAGCTTCTTACATTAAAAAAATATGTTCTCATAATTTCTATTTTTTATTTTAGCTTTCCATGAGTACGGATAATGCTTGCCTTTCTAGTTTGTCAAAAGCAAGTTTGGCGACATAATTCCCATTGATTTGCTTATCCCCAAAGAGAAGTTTAAAGAAGCAGGCTCTTCCTTGTATGTCTAATACGGATGTTTGACTACTTGGCAGGTCCTTCAGGAGAAAGGTATTCACATATGGGATGGAAATGCATCTAAAGACTACCTTGACAGGCAAGTATTCGACTGCCCAAATGTGTGTGAGGAGTTCTAAGTTTCATGCAGTTTTAAGTGATTTTTGTATCTGCCACTTCAGTGTTGGTTTAACTGACAAGGAAGAGGGCGACTTGGGACCAGTATATGGGTTCCAGTGGCGACACTTTGGTGCCAGGTTTGTGAACTTCAGTTTAGGTTAAGTTCTATATTTTTGGTTTACATAATGAAGTCTAGCTTCAAGTTTCCCTATTTCTGTTCCATCACTCAGGTATACTGACATGCATGCTGACTATACCGGTCAAGGATTTGATCAGTTGCTAGATGTTATTGACAAGATTAAAAATAATCCAGATGATCGGCGGATTATACTGTCAGCATGGAATCCTTCTGATCTCAAATTGATGGCACTCCCACCTTGTCACATGTTTGCTCAGGTTTGTCTTGAGGTGGTTTAGGCTTTTATTTTATTATCACATCTCTTTTGTTTTATTAAATCCTTCTTTCTCCTTGCAGTTCTATGTAGCCAACGGACAGTTATCGTGTCAAATGTATCAGCGTTCTGCTGACATCGGCCTTGGTGTTCCATTTAACATTGCATCATATGCTCTTCTGACATGCATGATTGCTCATGTTTGTGGTACGCATTCTAAAGAATACTCTTTTAGCTGGCACCTTTGCACTCTTTTAGCCGGCACCTTTGCCTTCGTTGGCTATCTGATGGATTTAAGAACCTTGCATCTGATATTGTGTCTTTAGAGTCTGTCCATAATATGCTTTTATCTCGTGCAGGTCTTGTTCCAGGTGATTTCATTCATGCCTTAGGGGATGCTCATGTTTACCGCACTCACATCAGGCCTTTGAAGGAGCAGCTTGAAAAGCTGCCCAAGCCTTTTCCAGTAAGTTTAACAATGTTTCATAAATGATTGTTTTGGTTTCAGAAGCAGACTTTATTACCCCCTCTTGCATTTCTACCTGTTATATATATTGTTTATTTACAACTGACTACCTCTATTTCAATGCAGATTTTGAAGATCAATCCTGAGAAAAAGAATATAGATTCTTTTGTGGCGGCTGATTTCAAACTGATAGGTTATGATCCTCATCAGAAGATAGAAATGAAAATGGCCGTATAGGGCTCTCTCAAATTTTCAGTAGAGAGCTCAGACACTAGTTTTATATCTAGGCGATGCTGCTGTTAGTTTTGAAGGCAAGTTACATTTTGTTTTTTGTTTATGCTGATGAGTCTTTTATTCTCTAACCCTGACTATACCTCGATACTACCTTGCTAATTCAAATGGGTTTACATAGCATGCGGTTGGAATTGTATGTAAGTTTGAACCAACTTAAGTTGTACAGTTTGATTATCTTATTCCTCGAATTAAGACATTTCGCGAGACTGAAGCTTTACGTTGTGTTTCAGGTGCAGGATTTGAAGGTTCATGTTGATGTAGAGTTTCAATACAGATGAATAACTGGTATTAGGACTATACTTGAAGCTTTGCATTTGTAGTAATCGGGAATCCTTTAGTTTCACGTACACTCAGGTGGCTCTAAGGTGATTTAGGATACTTTCGAACTTTTTTTCTTCTCTGCTTTTTGAGCATGCTTTGGCGCTTTGGCACTTTGTCACATGGATAGAGGCCCATCACTTAGGTCTCTTAATTTCTATGAACACTGTGTTGTACTTTTATAAGAAAATAGAATTGGGGATCACATGATTTATCTTGGCGTGGTGGATTGTGTTCAAGTTTGGCTCGTTTTAGATTTTTTTGTTTTTTGGTCGATGGCTCGTTTTAGTTTAAATGTAGTAGTTCAGTACTAATGTTTGATGGCCAAGAAACAGTTTTATCGACTTATCGGCTGCCAATGTCCGGGTTCCCTATTTACTTGGACGTGATTTGTTTGCAACTCAGCAGTCTCTTATTCTGTTTCCAACTTTCCAGGAATATAAAAACCACAAAAACGAACTCTTGAACTAACTTAATCCTAAACCAATTTTTCGGCCCGCCTTTCACCGCTTGGGTTAACTAGAAGGGCCTGGTATAGTATGTATGAGAAAGAACTTTGGTACACTTTTGAAGTTTGCTATAAAACCCCCGGCTGCTACTCAGACGAAGGAGTAAAATTAGGGTAAGAAAGTAGTGGATTACAGATTTCCTCAAAGTTAATAAGTTACCGGAGGTCTTCATCTTTTGGTGCCCCATCTTCTCATCCTTGTTACTTTCGGCTCCCTCGTTTGTTACTTTGCTGTCTTATTTTTCTCAAGAAAGAAACCCCAATTGGAGGTCTTTCAGTGCAGTTTCAGGCTCCTCGTACATATTACGAACCCGTGCGGGTTCAAAATGATGGCCTCAACTTACTTTGGAATTACAGAACATGCGTTTTACCCGACTTGCCTGTGCATGTCGAATGGTGAACTGTATGCTCTCATCTGTGGAATCAGCATGAGAAGCAACTCTCTAATGTCACCTGAGCTGAGAAGAGGTAGAACTCCCCTGCATCACCACATGAAGCCAAGGAAGACTCAACTAGTATCATAAACAATGGAGCCCATGTTTGGTTAAGCGATCTCCGTATCAGGGGCTTCTAACTAAGCAGGGCATTGCAGGGGAAGTTGAGCTAATTGGGTTTCGGAATTGATGAAAGAAAGTTTATGTCATGTCTTGGACTATATTGACGAACGGCAATGAAGACCATCAACCTCCAAAGAAAATCCATTTATGAACTAGTACTGTAGAAACAAAGCGTTTGATTCCCGCAACTCGCATTCAATCCCTTTCTTTACTTCTAAGATATACAAGTTATCTTCGTCTCTCATACCTAGAGTCTCACATCACAAACTCACTGAAATATAACATAAAACTTATAAGGACTTGCACTAGGCTCTTTTATTGCCGAGTCTAGTAGCGTAAACTCGTAACTAAGCAGAGCATTAAAGTGATTGGTTATATGGGGTGATTGAGTTTGACCCTGAGCCCTAGAGGCAAACCCTATCCACCATGGGTAAAGTGCAAATAACAGTTGATTTGATAAGTTATAACGCTCACTCGAAGGCCCTTAGCACTAAGGGTAGTGCTTAGCTCAGCTCCTCCTCCCTACAATCAACTTTTTGTTCATTCCAGAATATTTTGAGAACGTAAGGTGAACTTGTTTCGACGAGCCACAAAATATTTTGAGAACTTAAGGTGAACTAACGTCCTAATGCCTGGCTCGGCCCCTCATCACGCAATCAAAGATTTGTTATTCCAAAATTATTTTCAAAAACTTAATTAAACTAAGGAAAAATTAGTATCCGGTCCCTAGTTTCTAATGTTCATTGACTAAGACCTTATTAGTTTTTAAATTTTGATCAAAGTCCCTAGCATTAATATATTAATGAATTACATGTAAGTTACATAATTTTTATAATAAAAATTAGTAATTGATTTAGAGTTTTAATACTCACACCCTTATTAAACTCCTAATTAATTTCAATTCTAACATTTTCAAAAAATAAAAAAATAAAATTAGAATAAGTTTGTACTCATTAAATTTTTATATAAAAAATTATATGTACCCATTCTTAAATATACCAATTTGTTATATGAAAAATTACCCTTTTTTTAATATAAAATGTACCCATTTTTATATAAAATTCATTCAATCTTTTCTCTAATCCATTTTTTAAACTTATATGGGTACATTCTATTTTGTTGATTTAAGAATGTATCCATGTCAAGTTTAATAGAAGAAATGCTTAATAATTATTAAGACTAATATCATATTTTTTTTTTTTTGTGTTTTTGAAAAATGTACTGATGTTTTGGTACAATAATTTTTTGGTTAGTTTTTTATGAACGTACCCATGTATACACATAATATATTAGAGAGTATAATTTATCTTTAATATTTTTAATCTCATAAATTATACGTTTTATTTAAAATCTCATTAATATAAATAACTACAAATTTCATTTTTAGTTTAAAAATCAAATAAATATATTATTACATTAATATCAGGGACTTCGATAAAAAATTAAAAGTCACAAAGGTTTTAGTCAAAGAACATTGATAGTTAGGGACCGCATCTAAAGTATTCCATAAACTAATTACACTTTGTGAATCGTCCACGAAAAATTCATTAAGAAAAACACACAGTGGCTCCTTTCAAACTAAGTTGTAAAAAGCAGTAAAATTGTGTATCAGATATCTAACAATCATAAAATATTTACACCCTTTAAGTGCCACATCGTCCATGTAGGCTTTGTGCGACGTGATTTCGCATGAACGCCGGGGGACTGTAGAGACAAGTGTTGTTGCAATTGCAGTTAATGGCCACACAGAAGATTGATCTACCCTCAATCGCTGCTCATGAACATGATCGAGGAAGCTTCCCTAGTACTATACATAGAAACAAAGACCTCCAAGCTCAGGACTTCCGTCAAATTAAAAAACTCAATGGTTATTCAATCCAAATCCCAGTTGTTTTAGTTGGACGTTTCTCCCAACCAAGTATCCTCTTCAAGCACGAATGCTTCCTACTTAGCCTGGTCCGGTATCGTAAATGGCAGTCCAATACAACGTTATCATGCAACTTACGGATTAAATAATTTTTTTTTTCTTTTCAAAAACTGAAACCTTGATGCAGAAAGAGACTTTGTAAGTACATCTGCAATTTGAAACGTTGAGCCAACAAACCAAGCTAGAATGAGAGAAGCAATAATCACCTCATCCATGAGGCTATAACATGTTATAAATCTTTCCCTGATTTATAACATATGCACTTGTTACTCTCATTACTTTTATAACCATTGTTAATTATGCAGTAATCAAAAATTTTTGAGTCCTATTTAGGTGTCTGCTTTAAATGATAAATAGAGTTGGTCAACTTACATACTTTGTTCTCTTGGCCAGGTTCAACAAAACCTTCTGGTTGGTTGGTACATGTAAATTGCTTCATCTAAATCTCCATTACAAAAAGGGTGAAGTGCCGATTTAGTCCTTGAACTATCACCTCAGTGAAAATTAGGTCCTTGAATTGTTTTCCCAGTAAAATAAGTCCCTAAATTCATTCAAAATTGCTAATTTCATCCCTACTATTATTTTCAAAGCTATTTTATCCAATTTTTTGTCAACTTAAGTCATTTGACACACTTTAGAGTGTAATACCGTCATTTTGTCGCCTAAAAGCCCTTAATATTTCATATAGGGTGCAAATTTAACGTCTAATTTACCCCCAAAGTTAACTCAAAACACTATTTCTTTATGTAAAACTACCAATCTACCATCCAATGTGAATCATATGCAAGTAACGTGACTTAAATTGACGGAAAATTGAATATAGTAGCTTAATTTGAATATAATATTAGGGCTGTAATTGGCAAATTTTTATAATTCAATGACTGATTTTTCTTAAAAAAATAGTTGAGGGACCTAATTTTCACTCATGATAATTCATGGACTAAATTGGTCGTTCACCCTTAAAAAAAATTGTTTTCACATCCATTTGATGAATAATCAAATCATGAATAGAAGCAACAAGAATTAGCAATCTAATTTGATGAATAATCAAATCAAGAATAGAAGCAACAAGAATTAGCAATCTAATGGATGTTACTCTAGTAACTGGAGAAAAAGTATAAAAGATATCTAGATTAGCTTTTTGTTTGAAGCCCTTTGTAACAAGTCTGGCTTTAAATTTATTTATATTTCCATCTGGTTTGAGTTTCTTTCTAACGACCCATTTGCACCTATAATTTTACAACCTGGTGGTAAATCTACCAGCTTCCAAGTTGTTGAGGCCCAAAAATCTCACCTACAAGCCCAATCATCTTAAAAACGTAACAAGCGAAGCTTAAATTCATGCAAAAGTGTTGAATCAAGGGTTATGTGGATTTACGATCACGTCATGTCAATAAAATAATAATTTATAAATTAGACGTTTGAATAATGATGCCAAGCCCATGCAAAGTCATTCACATTTATCATGCCAAGCCATGTTAAGACATTAATGTTGCAATTAAATCACGCCAACCACACTACATGCTAAAATGGGCCCAAGCCACATATTGGGCTTACCAAGTGGATCGTGGTGTGGATGGTTATGGAAGTTTATTGGGCTTATGTGGAGCTAAGGTTGTGGAAGACTTTGATGCTGCTTGGGACCACAAAAAGTTCATGCCCATGATCTTTGGTTTCATGTGGGTAAATCTGAGAGAGAACATACTAAGTTTCCCTTTCCCTCGCAAACCAGCTAGGATACTTAGGAAACAACCAAAACCCAAAGCGGAGCTGCCTACAGGATCACGTTCAAAACAAAGAGTCGTGCACCTCATTAATGATGAGATAATGGATCTTTCACTTCCAAGTTCACACATGAACACAAGGAAGGAAAACAAGGAGGAGCGTTGCCAAAAGAGAAGTATGTGGAAATTGACCATAAAGAAAAGCTATAGCTGCGCCCCTGTAAATGAGAAAGAATGACTCAGCAAAAATAAGAAGAAATGGGGAAACCAAAGGATTCCTTAGTGGAAGTTGGAAAGGAGCCTTACGTCTATAAAATTGGATGGAAGTCAGCATGAAGGAGGGTAACGGAGACAACATAGAGGGAGAAGGGATCAGGGCAAGATTGCACCAGGTAAAGCAAGTTTTCTAAGCGCAGGACACCTTGATTCTTAAAGAAAGAACTTTCCTCAAGCTTCCCTTAAATTCCTTAATCACTACGAATATTCCCAGAGCATT